TTCAGAATGTCAAATTTGGTAAGGTAACATAGTTCATTTGCGTGCATTGGTTTCCAAATCAATCTTAAGCACCTGAGCGGAGTCCATTAAAACATAACTCATTTGGCTGGTGCACTATGTTAGTGCAGTCGCTCAAGCGGCCCTGGCACCGCTTAAGAGGTAGATGCTTTAGCGGATAGGGTGTCGCTTAAGTAGGACTTGCCTGCTAAAGGATAAACATTTTAGCGGCCCTATCCTTGCTTAATCGATGGTCACTTAAGTGTCCATGGAGATGTTCTAGCAATGTCTAGCCACTTAAGAGGTAGGCACACCTCTTTAACTAGGCCGCTTAAGCGGCCAAAGTGAGCATTTTACGGCTAGGCGTTGTTGAAGGCTCACCAGGTTCTTTAAGCTTCGGGTCAAGAAGGAAAAAGAGATGGTTGTAATGGGAAAGGTCATCCATAAGGTACACATGGTGGTCACCGTAAAGGTTTCAACCAGGCTAACCATGGTGGTGTACATGCAGGTTGAGAAGTTACTCATCTAGTAGAGTGATGCTTAGGCATGTGATAATGTGCATTTCTTTTCTTTTCCAAGCAGGCCTAAGTAGAGGCACCAGACATGGTTATTATAGGTATTATTCTTGTGTATGACTGAATGACCACTAGTTTGTTTGATCCAGATTCTACCTTATCGTATATACCTATTGAGCTTGCTATAGGGTTGTATATGGTATTTGATTTTCTTGATATTTTATTCATCTATCCACCCTCATTGGTGACTCTGTTGTTGTGGATAAGGTGTACCATTCTTGTAGTGTTATGTTCATAGGGTATCCACCTAGGGTATATTTGGTGACATGATGAATTTTAACATCATCCAGGGGATGAGTTGGGTATCCTCTTACCATGCAATTCTAGACAGTCATGCTAAGACAATAACTATAGTCATATTGAGGATGACTAGTCTTAAGTGGGATGGTGGTTATCATCATATTCCTATGAAATATATATCTTTTATTCATGACAAAAGGTTAATTGGGAGAGGGTATTGATGTTCTTAGCCCATCTTTGGGATACTAGTGTCGAAGTCCCGCCCATTGAGTCATCTTTTGTAATGTATGGGTTCCTAGAGGTATTTTCTGTTGATATGCCAAGCATGACGCCATACTGAGATATTGATTTTAGTATAGACATAGAATGGGGCATGCATTCCATCTTTATTCCTTCATATATAATTGTACTAGCTGAGCTAAGGGAGATAAAGGCTTAGTTTCAAGAATTGTTAAGGGATTTATCCATTATAGTGCATCTCCATGGGATGCTCCAGTGTTGTTTGTTAAAAAAAGAAGAAGGTAATTTACTCATCAGTAGTTAAATAAGGTTACAATTCGTAACAAGTACCCTTTGCCCATATTTGATGATTTGTTTGACCCGCTGCAGAGTGGTTTGGTTTTCTAAAAAAGTTATTAGAGGTCCCGGTATCATCAATTGAAAATTTGGACTGACGATATTCTTAAGACTACATTCTGGAGCAGTATAAGTACTATGAGTTCTCGATGATGTCTTCGGTCTAAATAATCCCCACTACTTCATGGAATTGATGAACAAGGTGTTTAAGCCCTACTTTGATTCATTTGTGATCATCTTCATTGATGATATATTTGGTTATTACTCTAAGAGTAAATAGGAACATGAGTACCACTTGAGAATATTGTTGAGTTTTCTCAAGGAGAAAAAACTTTATGCAAAATATTATAAGTGTTGATTTTGGTTGCCTTTGGTGTCCTTTCTAGGCCATGTGATTTCGAAGGAAGAGGTTAAGGTAGACTCATAAAATTTGAGGCAGTTAAGAATTGGCTTGTGCTTACCTTCATGACCGAGATTCATAGTTTTGTAGGGTCGGCTACTTACTATTGTAGGTTCGTGAAGGAATGTTCCTTTATTCCTTCTCATTTGACATATCTGACTCAGAAAGAGGTACCCTTCTTTTGGTTTAACGAATATGAGGATAGCTTCCATCAACTCAAGAATGTTGATCACTTCCTATTCTTGCATTGTTAGTAGAGAGTGAGGATTTCATTGTACATTGTGATGCCTCATGTTTTGGTTTAGGTGTTGCTTTGATGTAGGAAAGGAGTATTATCACCTTTACTTTTATACAATTGAAAATGCTCAACAAGAATTATGCTACTCATGATTTGGAGTTTACTACTATAGTTTTCGCACATAAGATATGGAGGCATTATTTGTACGGAGTTCGCTGAAAAGTGTTTACTAACCACCATACTCTATAACATATTTTCACACAAAAAAAGTTGAATTTGAGGCGATGTAAGTGGATGGAGTTGTAAAAGGATTATGATGTAACCACTTTTTATTATCTAGGTAAGGCTAATGTGGTAGACTTGCCAGGTAGATTAGCTTGGAGCATTGGTAGCTAGGATTGCTTACCAATTACCAAACATCTATTGGCTAGGAAAGTGTAGGCTTTGGTTAACAGTTATATGCGACTTGAGATATTTGAGAGGGGTGGATTGCTAGTTAGTATAGACGCAAGGTCTGCATTTCTGGATAAAATCAAAGTAAGATTCGTGATAAGGTTTTGCAAGGTAAGGCCAAGGAGGACCAGGTTTTTTTGCCTAAAAAAATTGATTTTGATAAATTGAAAATGAAACAAATTATATTTTTGACTAATTATCGAGCTTATTAATTTTACCAACACAAAATAATTATTTTTAAATAAAGAGACGAATTATGTAACTTAATTGATTTTGAAGAATAAAATGCATACTTAATTTAGAAACTAATTTGGTCAGATATTTTCAAATATTTATTAAAGTAAAGCTTATATAAATCTATATAAGTGATGTAGAAATATCTTTATTTATTTATTGACAATGACAATTTTTCGTTGTAATTGCTTTTGAAAATATTTTAATCTTTGTAAAACAATTATTTAGAATTGAAGAAACTCCAAAAATTAATTAAATCATGGAGGGTCAAAATTGGATGTCAACAATTACAATATATATCTAATGGTTCAATCAAAAGACCATTTGAAGCTCATTTGATTTAGATGGTACCATTATTGGAACTCATATGTCAAAATTTCAATCTTCAAGAAAGTACCAAAAACTCATCCGAGACCTTCTAAATGCAAAGCAATAGTACGAATCGATCATAAAACATGTTCCAAATATGTTAGAGACATCAAATCACCAATACAAGATCGTCTTGACTACCACAACAAGCAAGAAAAATATTAGTGACGGAATAAAGAAAAATTCCAAATGTATGAATTCAGAAGATGCAAAACAATGGATTCAATACACAACCAGGCAATTAAGAATTAATGTGACAAGTCAACAAGAAAGGACTCGGAGAATCAGACGCAATAATAGGAGCTTCTGTAACAAAGACAAAGGATTCACATGTTGATCAATGGTTACTCATATAAAAAAAACTTTAGCAATTAGGGGCCAGTTGAGTCAAAAATACCTTTTGGAGATGGATCTCTTCACAATGATATCAGTTCTTTAGAAGCCATTCTGTGTAGAGGGAAAGATTCATGGGGTATTTATCACCTCAATTGATTCTTGATGAAGTGTTGATGGTTCATGGCTATAAGTTCGTAGATCTGTTGTTTGAACCCATTTTGAGCCGAAGAAGTCTTTAATGAGGTCGAATTCATGATACTTGTGAGACATTATGTGTCTATGTGGAATTCACTCAAGCTCAACAATACTGGTTCAACATAAATTGAAGAATTTGAGGCGTTTCGGAGGAATATTGATGAAGTTTTCCTGAAGATGAGGTGTTCTTAGACCATTTGAACTCAATTAGTTTCCTTGTTTAGCTTTTCTGTGTTTTGTTGTTTGTTGATAAACCCGGGTCACTATTGGGCCTGGGTCAAAAACGTTTTTTTTGGTAATAAATGGGCTATGCCCTATTATTGATTTTTAAAAAAACAAGACCGTCTTGACTATGGTCAAACTTCACTTTTTTAAAACTCCAAAAATTCAACTAAAGGCTCAACTCTCTCTCAAACACCATGTGATCATTCAAACCATCCAATCAAGCTAAAAATGATCTTCTATACTTAACAAGATCGTTAGAACTAGGAACCGACCTCGTCAACTCGATATCTTAATTTTGGTCAAACTTTTCAAATTTTAAACTTTCAAAATTGAAAATCTCAACCAATCCTCATATGATCACAGCGCCACCCATTCTCCCAAGTTATAAACAACATAAAGCTAACAAAAGATTCAAATTGAAATGAATTCAAAAAAATAAAATGATCATACGACTCATTACAAAGCGATGTTATTAAAAAGAGAGCAGAAGGATGTAATAGGCAAAATCAAGAGAAAGACACCAATGGAGGTCACATAATGATTCAACTTAGCAAATGCAAACAAGTGTTTGACACATTAGTACACCCGTACTAAGAGCTAAAATGACTATAATGTCCGTAAAATGAATTTTAAGTGCATGGCTTTTCTAATATATAGAAAACCTTTTATTATTTTTTTGTAAATAAAGAAGAAAATCCAAAAGACGATTATTTTTATTCACTTTTTATATACTTTTGTATATCATTAAAGGATCTGATGCAGTAGACAAGGCTACTCCTCTCTTAATCAGAGCTTTCGAGTTCTAGTTCCGGCTAAGAAAAATTCTTGATACGAAGTGCTTCTCCCCAAATGAAATGCGACACGAGTTCAGAATAATCGAGCTCCAAGGTGGAATACCAGACATCGAGTGGAAAACAAAAAAAAAAGTACTTTTATATAATATATAACCTTTTAGAACTGATCTTTATAAACATTGAACTAGTTTCAATTACACGTGTAATAAAAATATAATGAAATAGATATTGAATTACTTTTAGAAACAACAACAAATTAATACATCATAACAATAATATATTTAATGTATAATTTTATGAAATAATTAAAAAATAAAATATAAGCATAACCATATTAGATGGACATTTTACCAAATCCTTGACTCAACCTTAAACCTTTATGGTGGGGCAGAAAGCTGCTGCAAAACCTATCCATATAACCCGCTCCATTTTCAATTCTAACACTCTTCTCCAGCCGATATCACACTGCTCCTCTCTTCTTTGGAAAAATAAGCGAAAAAGGAGATACCCTTTTGCACTTCTGATCTTCTTCTTCAGTAATTATCAGCAAACAAAGTTGAGTATTTTTCAAGGTGATGGAGAACATATGTATAGTTTCTTCACCTAAAATGGTATTGGGTCTCTCTTCAAACCCAGTAATTTCAAATAAACCCTTGTTTGGCCTTCCTCATCTACCCAAAAGACCCTTCAAGAATGGAAGAATTGTCAGACCCACAACCTGTTTTGAGGTGGTATCTTGTTTTCAGAGTCCAAGGCTGACTAAAAAGATTGGTACTTTCAACTCTTTTATCTACTTCTCAATTTCTTTTTATCTTAAATGTATTCTGTGTTTTATTTGAAGCTTCAGTTCATCTTAAAGTAGATGTTCATTACCCATAATTAGCTGTCCTGAAAGATAATTTTCGAAATTGTGGTGTTGTGTGTTATTTTTTTTGTTTATTTAGTAGTTGGAAAGTGCAGTTTTGATTTCTCTTCATGTAAAAATTGAATCTTTTAATGAATGTTGTGTTACTCTGAAACTTGATTGCATATTATGGTAGAAATTAATCACTGTGAGGAGCAATCTTTTAAGAGAAATTTCTGAATTATGGTTACTAGAGTTGTTTCAAATTTTGTTGGTTCTGTGAAGTGCTCCTTATTCTTATTAATAAATCTATCCGTTGGTCTCCTCTTTGTATGTGTATTGTGTTTATCTGATTCATCACTGAAAGAGTAGATTTGTTCTTTTGCATTGTAGTTCTTAGAGTTGTTTCTAGATATATTTACTTGTTAGGGGTGCATTAGGCTGAGTTTTGATCATGTTAATTTTGCTGTTTCTATAAGACTAGGAGCCATTTTATATTTGTCTAAAGCTTGGCTGCATCTCAAACAAGAAATTCAGTATTAACAGAAGTTATCTTTTGAGAGAAATATTTGAAAATTTCAGTACTAAAAATGTTTCTTGATTTATCTGCTTGTTGGTAGGCATAAATGCCAATTTGTTCATACTAAAATAAGTGAATTGATGTCTGTGTGGAATTGTTTAAAGTGCGAGGGCTGTGACATTCTGCTAGTTGTCTCTTGTGTGGATTTGCTTGCTTGTGCATATGTTTGTCATTTGGTTGGGTAGGACACTTTGTCGATATTGTTTTCTATTAGTAAAACAAGTGTCCTGCGGTGAACTTTGATGTGAAGAACAGAGGGATGGATAAACTTAATGATAATTCTTTTTGTCTAGATACTAATGGATTTTAAGTCAGTTCAGTATTTTGTTATAGGATTCAGAAAGGTTGCTATGTTTGTGAGGTAACTGTATAGGCTGATAGGTTGCAAAAGTAAAATAACTTTTGCAACTTTTGACTATGTTAATGGGTAGATGGTAAAACTTACTACCCGAGCTAGAATCATTATCAAATGCAAATCAAGTATCTTGCAAATGAAGGCTTTTGGTACTCATAGTTTAGATGATGTCTTCTGATTATTGAGTTGTGGATGACATCAAGAACATGGTGACTGATTTCAAGGAATCTATTGATGAGGTTAATGTGGGTGCTTCCGTAAATGGTAACCTGTACTGGTTAATGATATCAATGTATCAAAAGATCACATGTATGCTAATATAATTCATTTTACTGGAAAGATTACATAGGTATCTCTATGTTGCCAGCTTTTGGATTCATTTTAGAATTGATAAGATCTTAACTGTTTCATGCTCCATCTAAAAATAAAAAACTGTTACATGCTGATTTATAAGGTAAGTAGGACTGGAAATGAAGAAGGACATCATTGAATAATTGGCTTATAGATGAATTAGTTATATTTCATGAAATTCACTGCAGCACACCTAAATACTCAAAATCGCACTGCTATGGAAGCTTAATATAGTGGCCTAAAGCTCAAGTAGTTTACTAAGAAGAACAATACATAAATCTTTTCTTCTTGTTTGATAACTGAGAGATCCCTGCTAATGGTGCACTGTTTGAAACTTGGTGGATAATGGACCGCCCACCCTTCTCCACTTAAATACCAGGCTTTTGACTACTACAAGGTTTGGACCCATTAGTGCGCCTAACCCAAACATCACAAGTTATGCTCTCACTACTAGACCAAAGACCTGGGGATGAAACAATGCATAAATGTAGATCTAAAACTACCAAAAATATGCTACAAGTAAAAAATCTCTAGGATGAAAGATTTTCCCACTTCCGGTTGTGTCTGCATCATCCTGCTCTCAATTGATGTAAACTCAGTCTCGAGTTTTGTGCTGTTGCTGACGGGTAGTAATATACCCCAATGAAATCATGCCTATAGGGGCTTATATTTTGGGAGGCATGCAACAATAGAGCCAAAAGTCCATCTAGTGCACTTTATGTAGGTAACTAGGTATTCATATGCCCTTCACTTGGATAAAGGAAAAAAATAAAAGGAGAGAAAGCCTAAAATATAAAAGTATTCTCTAAAATATTACAAGCAGGGCATATTATGTTGATTAGTAACTATAGTTCAGGGCTCAAAGTGGTTAAGCATATAAAAAATCTAATATATCATTTAGAAATGTGTAATTTGGAAATTGATTGTTTTAATTTTTGAAGAATGATCCCAATATGTAGTATGTTCTTATGTCAGGAAAAAGTTACTTGCGGCCTGATGCAGTTGCCAGCTCAAGTTTCTTGATAAGATATTGTTCCCAAAATACATTATAGGGTATGGTAGAGAAAAGATTTGGAGATTGGAGAATTTTATATTGGTTTAGCAAAAATATATATTTGTTAAAAGTGGAAAGGAAGATCTTTGCGTTTTTAACAAGGCCTTGCTAAGGAAATTGCCGTGGAGATTTAGGATAAAGGAACATGTACTATGGAGAGGTGTTATCAACATACATGGATGAATGAAGAAGCATGCCCGAGTAGACTTCAAGAGCTCTAGCTATCAATGGGGGTGGGTGTTGGAGAACAAGAAACATCATGAATCCTTTTAATTATGCACTCTTTGCAGGAACATTATACAGGGAAAGGAAGAGTTAAGCATCTCTTTGCGGGTGGGGGATGGATGAAAGGGTAGTTTCTTTGCGGCACAGGAGGTGTGAATATAACATGTTAAGGATCACTTTTCCAAAATCTAGAATATTTTATACTCCCTCTGTCCCAATTAATGTGACTTACTTTCCTTTTTAGTCAGTCCCAAAAAGAATGACACATTTCTATATTAAGTAACAATTTAACTATAAAATGTCTATTTTACCCTTAATGAAATGATTTACAGCCACACAAATTTCTATCATTCATTTTGGACCACAAGTTTTAAAAGTCTTCCTTTCTTTCTTAAACTCCGTGCCGAGCCAAGCTACCTCACATACAATGGGACAGAGGGAGTACTAAAAAGAGATGATACTACATCAAGTTCTAAGATCACATGATGTGCGTGTTATTTGGGATCTCAAATTTATGAAGGAAATTTTGGGATTGGGACATAGTGGAGTTCCAAAGTCTACTTGAAATGCTCTACAAGCAAATTTACTGGTAGAGAGCCATGACAATTGGGTGTTAGAGAGCAGGAGTCTATTTTTCAGTGAAAAGTTACTACTGTAAGGTGCTAGCTAGAGTGAAGTTATATTTCCCTCATCAGTTTGGACCCCTAGAGCGCTTGGAAAGGTATGTTTGTTTGCTTAGAGGGATGCAAATTTGACAACCGAAAACTTGAAAAGAGGAGGATTACTGATGTTAGTTAATGCTTCATGTGTAAACTCGTGTAGGACATGGGTCATTTCTTATTACAATGCTAGTTAGCATCTAAGTTGCTCATACTCTTCACTTTCGGTGCCGCACCCGTGTCGACATGACATGGGTGTGAGTGTGGGGTCCATACCCAATCTGGTCAACTAGTTTTGGGTACTTTGACCAAATTCGAGGGAGAAATTTTGGACAGATTCAATAATTTCTATAATCAAAACAAAAGCTAAGGTGAAATTGAAGAAAATGAAATACCTTGTATTTATAGATTTCTATTGTCACTCCCTTTCCTTTTATGGATTCTCCTCTTGATCAATATTTCTTCTCAAGTTCTCCACATAATATCTCATAATTTAAGTTTTATAACTCTATTTTTAGAAATTTGAATTATTTTTAGCTAAATCTCCGCACCTGTATCCATATATGGATTTGTATCCCCAATTTTTAATATTTTGATCATAGAGGATCTGACCTCTAGATCTGCACCCGTATAGGACACCCTCACCCGAGTCTGAGCAACTTAGGTTAGCATCACATTTGTGGGAGCTTTTTCTATTGTTCGGTATACAATGAACTATGCTGGGTACTGTGAAGGATGCATTATTTAGTTGGGTCTTTAGAGAAGTGAAAAGAAGATGCCAAACGTGGGATGTATCTCCAATAGTACTTGTGTGGATAGTATTGTGGGAAAGAAATAGGAGATTTGAAAGGAAAGGCACAACTTTGTACATCTGAGGGGTAACTTCCTACTTTTGATTTCCTCTTGGTGCACCTATGATGGTTCCTATTTGTGTAGTATAATGGGTGTCTTTCGTAGTGAGTCATATCTTTTGTGATTCTCTACTTTTGGGAATACTTCTATACAGAAGTATTTTCATTATCAATATTATTATACCTGATCGAATAAACAACTGAATAAATTATTGGATGGTTCTTGTTCTTTAAATTCATTCACATCATGTTTACATGGGTAACGACAAAATTTCTCTGTAGTTGTTGCTTCTACAAATTCGGTATGTTTTATATCTGGCTAGACTGCCAAATTAGAGAAAACCTGTGTTGTTGGAAAGGAAAAGATTATACATAAAATTGCTACATCTTAAAGGGTAAAACCACTTTTTCCTGGATGTAGTCACTTTTCTTGTCCCAAATTTCTTATACATTATATCATTTAGTGATCCATTGTTATATTCTTGCTAATAATTATGCTGCTGAGCCTTTCCTTAAACGTCTTCTATGCAGTGCTGGGAAAATCAGGGAGGGGTTCTTTTGCTAGCACTACAACTTCAGGTGGCCAACAGACTTCTTCAGTTGGTGTAAATCCACAATTTTCAGCTCCATCGCAACCATCTCAAGTGTAATAATTTGTATTATCCCCGATTTAATTTGTTTCATCTTGTATATAACCTAACCTATCAGTTTCTCACTTTACATGTTTCTGTTATTGTGTTTCTATCTGCATTAACAATTAACATCTCTTGATTTGCTTACTTGTTTATTGTTATTTGTCGTCTACAGGGGGTCTCCTCTTTTTTGGATTGGAGTTGGTGTTGGGCTTTCAGCACTTTTCGCATGGGTGAGAAGGAGAATTCTTTCAATTTTATTGGTTACACTCTTGTTTCGTTTTTTTTTACTAACTCTTTACTTTTTACTTTTTTTTTTTCTGAAATATATTGCAGGTGGCTTCATACCTAAAGGCAAGTACTTCTTAAATGAGGTGTAATTATAATCTGCATGAATTTGATGCTTATCTCACTCTGTTTCTTATAGTGCTACTATCAGAGTGGCAGCTAAGAGAATTTAGACTTTTGAGAAAATATGAATTTTAACTTATCGATAATATGACATGCACATGATGGGACATACCTCGTTTTTTATGAGCAGTAGTATTAAGAGGATTGACCACATATTAAGAAAAAGGGACCAACAAAGCAGATACGGAAGACAAGAATGACCATGCATCAGTTGCTGGTATCTGTAATTACAAAATTAATGATGATGAGCACATCAAGCTAGAATACTTCTGAAATTAACTAGGGCCTCACTGTAGAATATGCTTTCGATGTTGACTAATTAAAATCATGCTACGTCATCATAATCCGGTATTGAGAGGCCAGCCATATACTTATTTTTTTTAAAACTATTTTGCTATACTTGTCTGTTCTTTTAGAGTCCTAACTCTTGCTGTTAAATTTAGTTGATTTCTTTCTTCTTGTTTTATGTGAGTTTAAAGATAAATTCAATGGTTATCCTCCTTTTAAACACCTAAATATTTCTGCTAATGAGTCGGTCTGAATTATGGATACAATAGTTGCTCAGGAAAACATAAAATGAGATTGCTTGTTTTAGGTGCCTTCTTTTTTATTCTCTGTGGCGGAAAATCATGTTTTAAACTTCTTTCATATTCTTTTTGTTTCAAATGTTTTGGTTTTTAATTGTACGTGGATATATTTCTTTGTTTCCTATGTGGAGGCCACTGAGTGCAGCTACAGAAATTCGATAAAGCCCTACATATGTGTCTTAACTATTTCTGCATGTTGTTTTCCCATGCTTCCAGAAGTATGCTATGCAGCAAGCGTTAAAAACAATGATGGGACAAATGAATGGCCAGAATAGTCAATTTAGCAACAATGCTTTTTCACCTGGACCTGGGTCACCTTTTCCTTTTCCATTCCCACCACCACCAGTGTCAGGTCCAGCTAGTTCATCACCTCCACCACCTACTGCATCTACCTCATCTACACCATCAGCTTCATTTGCATCTCAACCGGTGACTGTTGATGTATCTGCAACTAAAGTGGAGGAACCTCCAACTGTGAATGTCAAAAATGATACAGAGGCTGGAAAGGAGCCAAAGAAAAATGGTACATAATGATTGCACTCTAAATATCATTTATTTCTGGTTCTAGTGTTTGTTTGTTTTTTTTTTCCTTTCATATAGAAAAACAGCAAATCTAGCAAGAAGGCAGGTTCATCGAAAGCCTCTTGACATTTACCCTTGAGTAGACGTTGTCAATGTCATGCTTTGATCACCCTTAATGTTGATTTGTCTATTAAACCGAAAGATATTAGGGGTCATTTGGTAGAGTGTGTAAAATAATGCTAAATAGAGTGTATTAGTAATGCTTGTTTAGTTATACTTGCATTAGTTATACATAGATTATTTCTTATGCATTCTTTGGTTTGGTGTATTAAAAATACCATGACGGATTTCTCGGTTATCAAAAAAAAAAAAACCATGCATTATATAAAGATAATTATTTACAAAAATATTCTTCACAATTATGGTGGAAAAGATGTAAAAGGGATTTTGAGGGGTAATTGGGTATTTAACCATGCTAATGCATGTATTAAATCCCTATGCATTACTAGTACCTAGAAATCCATGGTATTAGTAATGCACTCTTCAATACACAATAAAGTGTAACTAATACAAGCATTAGTTATACATAGCATGAAAAAGTATACCAAATAAGGCACTACTAACACACAGAGCTAATGCATGCATTATTTTTACTAATGCACTCTACCAAACGACCCCTTAGAGTATATCAGTGAAACAATTAAACTATCTTAAATGGGTGAGTTTGCCGCTAAATTTTAAGATTAAGCAATTTAGCCGTTGATTTTGAAAACGCCAGAACATCAACCATCTACAATGCATTCTTGAAGGAATTTGGAGTGTCATGATGTGATCCTTTGTCAACTTCTGAGCTTTTAAATGAAAATTCATCTTTTCCGTTCTTTCTTATTTTCCAAGTATTTTCTCACCCTAAAACCACTTGCCATCTCTTTCATGCATGAAGTCACTATCACACATTATTGCTATGCTGTCACTCTGCAAGGGTATCGCCCTAAGTTTGAACTAGGAAAAGGGTAATCCATCTAAGTTGTAGCCATGTTGATCCTACATAGCCCTAGAAATCTAACCTCCTTATGTATTACTAGAACCCATTGCTGACAACGGGGATGGGAAGGTTGGTCTTTGGGAGAAAAGCTCTACATTGAAGTGCAGGGTAACCCGTCTAAAATAAAAGGAATGAGCAGGAGGAAGGTACCATTTCAATTTCTTTGAGGTTAATTCGTTTTAAGTACGGAGAAGGGACTAAAATGCCCTTCAACCATTCAAATTGGTACAAAACTACCCCCATCCACCTTTTGCTTCCCGGACCAAATACCCCTAAAGTCAACCTTTAGGCTCAAAAATACCCTTGATATTAATTAAGCCTTTGGCTCATATTTCCCTTATTTTTAATAGCTCCCCTAAAGTAAAATCATTATTTATTATGTTGCCAAATATGGTTGGTCCAAATATAAACCCTTCTCAAATAAATAATACAATAACAACAACAACATACCCAGTGAAATCCCACTAGGTGGGGTCTGGGGAGGGTAGAGTGTACGCAGACCTTGCCACTACCTCGTGGAGGTAGAGAGGCTGTTTCCGAAAGACCCTCAGCTCAAGTACACCAAATCCAAGTTAAAGGCGAGGAAAACAGTGTATAAAACATACTATTTTCTAAAAAAACAGTGTATAAAACATACCATCCAATAAGAAAGATAGTGAATAATCAACAGAGGAGACAGTAGCCTCAATAGAACAACGAGAGAAGTGAAACGCAATAAACAGCATAAGGCTATAGGTATCACAGACAAGAACTGCAAGTGCAAGGCTAAGACTACTACACACGCTAACAACCCATACCCACGCAAGAAAGGGCAACACGCTAACCCTACTAACCTTCAACCTTAATACGCGACCTCCACTCCTTCCTATCTAGAGTCATGTCTTCGGTAATGTGAAGCTGAGCCAAGTCCTGTCTAATCACCTCTCCCCAATACTTCTTAGGCCTACCTCTACCCCTCCGCGTACCCTCTACAACCAGCCCCTCACACCTCCTTACTGGGGCGTCTTCGCACCGTCTCTTCACATGTCCAAACCATCTCAGTCTCGCTTCCCTCAGCTTGTCCACCACAGAGGCCACTCCCACCTTTTCCCGGATAACTTCATTCCTAATCTTATCACTCCTAGCGTGCTCACACATCCATCTCAACATCCTCATCTCCGCAACCTGCATTTTCTGAACATGTGAGTTCTTGACTGGCCAACACTCCGCTCCGTACAACAAGGCCGGTCTAACTACCACTCTGTAGAACTTACCTTTAAGTCTAGGTGGAATTTTCTTATCACACAAGACTCCAGAGGCATTCCTCCATTTCATCCAAGCAACCCCAATGCGGTGTGTGACATCATCGTCGATGTCGCCACTTCCTTGGATTACAGACCCAAGATACTTAAAACTTTCTTTCTTAGGGATGATCTGTGTGGCAAGTCTCACTTCCATATCTACCTCCTCCAACGCATCACTGAATTTGCACCCCAAATATTCTGTTTTGGTCCTACTCAACTTGAACCCTTTGGACTCAAGCGTTTGTCTCCACACCTCCAACCTCGCATTAACTCTATCCCGCGTCTCATCAATCAGTACTATGTCGTCCGCAAATAACATACACCACGGAACCTTCTCCTGAATAGACCGCGTCAACTCATCCATCACCAAAGCAAATAGAAAAGGGCTAAGGACTGATCCTTGGTGCAACCCCATCTCAACTAGGAAAAGTTTCGAGTCACCTCCAACTGTTCTAACCCGAGTCTTGGCTCCACCGTACATGTCCTTTATCGCCCTAATATATATCATCGGGACACCTTTTGCTTCCAAGCACCTCCAGAGGACACTCTGTGGTACTTTGTCATAGGCCTTTTCAAGGTCAATGAACACCATATGAAGGTCTCTCTTCCTCTCTCTATATTTTTCTACCCGTCTTCGCATAAGATGAATGGCTTCGGTCGTCAACCGTCCCGGCATGAATCCAAACTGATTCTCAGAAATGGACACCCCTCTTCTCACCCTTATCTCCACCACTCTCTCCCAAATCTTCATAGTATGGCTTAGCAATTTGATACCCCTGTAGTTGTTACAGTTCTGGATATCACCCTTGTTTTTATACAACGGAACCATCGTACTCCACCTCCACTCATCAGGCATCTTTGCTGTCTTAAAAATAACATTAAACAGCCCAGTCAACCACTCTATACCTGCCTTGTCCGTGCTCTTCCAAAACTCCACCGGAATCTCATCGGGTCCGGTCGCTCTTCCCCTGCTCATCCTACTAATAGCACGTATAACCTCCTCGATCCTAAAACACCTGCAGTACCCAAAGTCCTGAAGTCTTTCTGAGTGTGCCAACTCACCCAACACAATGTCTCCGCCCCCTTCTTCATTTAAAAGTTTGTGAAAGTATCTTGACCCGATATGCTTGAAAATAATATTTAAAAAATTACTAATTTCATGATATCTTTCTATTGGTTTATTTTAAATCCAATACCCAATTTGTTATAACTCAACTAATAACTTGGGATCCATCTAAAATCTGCGTTTGAATGTCCATCTAAAAAAAGATTATAATTTTTTATTAATTATACAATTGTCTCATTCCCTCTTTTAATTCTTTTTTAATCTCTTATTCTTATAAAGATCTTGGAATGAACTTACTTGTTCATATTCTTTTAATTTATAATATTATCATGGTAAGGTAGGGGTGAGAATAGGAGAAAAGATTTTTTTTTTATATTAATATTTTGAATTTTGGGTACACAAAAGAAAAAAAATTCTTCTATATGAACTAATTATTTCTATATGAATGTCCTCCTTATTTTTGTCCTTTTTTTCTCCCTTGTTTTGTCATAAATTTTTAAAAATAATTTTAAATGATGGACAAGATCCAAGAAGGAAAAAGTGGAAGAAAGAGGAAGTGGAGAGGGGGGAGGTGATTTTACTATGAAACCCAAAATCAGGTCAATCATGTGAGCTCATAGATGGAGGACCTAAAATACCCTTAAACTATGGAATTTGGTACAATATTGCCCTCCCATCCACCTTATGAGTGTGGACCCTTAGAAATAAGGGTTTTTCTGTGACAAAAGATTGACGTCAAGGGTATTTAAGCCGAAAGGTAGACGGAGGGTAGTTTTGTACCAATTCATATAGTTGAGGGGGATTTTAGGCTCTTCTACGTTTTAAGTATTTAAAAAAATTATTTGTGCCTCAATCATCAAAAGTTTTTTTCTTTTCTTTTGCTAATCAAATAGATTACTGGCATGCCTTCCGCAACAGTCCCTGACCAGAGCCATATTTAGACTCCACTAATATCCCAGAATAACAATCTCTTCCAAAAAGAATAGTAGGACACTTTGCGGAAAGAATGCTGATTTTGTAACTTGTATCCTCCTTTGACATCTTTCTTAAATGCTAAGAACTATTGTGGACCAGTAGAAATTGATACCTGGGTTTAGTTGTAGTGGGCAACTCCGATTTGCAACTTGTATCCTCCTTTGACATCTTTCTTAAATGCTAAGAACTATTGTGGACCAGTAGAAATTGATACCTGGGTTTAGTTGTAGTGAGGAGCCAGATCCATTTTAATGATATCAGAGGAATTCACTTTTATTCTAACCATAGTTACAAAAATGCTAATGCTTCCCAAGTTAGAACCACCTTTTTGTGATAGTGATACACTTTGCAGTACTCTTATAAAATATTTAGATTTTCTGGTTATTAACTTGTGATATTAAATCTGTGAATAAAACTCTTTGCAGCTTTTGTTGACATTTCTCCTGATGAAACATTCCAGAAGGGTGCCTTTGAAAATTTTAAGGACTCAACTGAGACGGCTTCAGTAACTGTTGATCAGGTCAGTGAGTAGCTATTACTGGGAATATTGTGTCGTCTAACAATTGCACTTCAATAATTTTTTGAATCTCTATTAGGTAACTCAAAATGGGGCTGCTTCACAGTTGGGATTTGGTCCAAATACATCTGACAGTACCTCATCGACTGGTAAATTACTTGCTGGTTGGCCCTTATGGCATAGCTGTTGTACTACGGATATCATTCAAGCATCAGGATTAGATGCACATTCCCATCTTCCTTCTCGTGTTTCTATTGGTCATTTTTCTCTTTTCTTTTTTGTCAATCATTATTTGTATTTGAGTTTTAAGAATCTTGCAATAGATAATAAAGATGGACATGCTTCATAGCTACATAGATCCTCTCTTTTAGCCTATAGGGTGGTTTGGAGGATGTGGTAAGCTATGAACAATGCCCAAGGTGGTTAAACTATGAAGTGCTTAATGCCCGGGCACTCTGTACTCATGCCTTGACAAAATGAAATGAGGTTGTATGTTCCATAATGTGGTGGGGAAAACACATTCTGGGGTCTTTTTCTATTTAGGAAAAAATGGGGAGAAAGGCCAGTTTCTTGTGCAATTGCAGTATGTTTGTAGCATAATATAGATACGTAGTGTTATTTTGGTGAATCTCCTGGTTGTAAAACTCCAAGAAATGACATAACTTTTAGTACTTTTTGTGTTTTCAATGCTATCCTTTTGAGTCCAACAAAGGCTAAAGGCTGCATGACCATTGCATGAGTACAAACTTGTTTCTTTTAGAAGTGGGTAAAAAGTATAAACTTGAAAGTCAATAATCCATTTTGTATGAGATATTGCATGAGATACAGACAAATGAGAGTTCAGAAAAGAAGGATGAACATCCAGATCAGAAGCTGTGACTTTGTAATGACCCGAATATTGTGTCCTGTGGGAACCTGAGTAGAACTTCCTACATCCTAAAAAATGCTAAGTGCTCTAGCGGGCATGTTTTACGGAAGAATGGCTTATTTCTTACAGATCTCATGGAATTCTGTGTCCATAAACTTGTTTTCAGGTTGGAGGTTTTGAGTGATAAATAGTCCAGCTTTATTGGTCATGTCTGTTAATTAGTAAAAAATGTTGTGTGTAACTTTACTTTAGCCTAATTTTCCTTCATGCTTTCTTTTTCATGGAAAAATAGATTGCCTTCATGCTCTCTTCTCTCAGCTACAAGTAATTTTGCATGATCTGCTTTCTTGAACAGGAAAATCTAATCCTCTAATGTCAGTAGATGCTCTGGAGAAAATGATGGAAGATCCAACAGTGCAGAAGATGGTTTACCCGTAAGATAGCATCTACCTTTTCTTTGATGTTCTACTAGTTTGCTACTGCATATTCTAGTTTTTTTAAAGTTTATGGAGAAGGAAACGTTCTATTTATTTATTTATTTCTTGCGAAATATTAATCTAAAGTGACATTTCTCTTCTATGTTAAATCTATTTTGCTTTTCTTGTGAACACAACCAGACCTTTCATCTTATTCTTATGTGACATATCTTTTGTGTGTATAAACTAGTTGTGCTTTATTTTGATGAGAACCCAACTTTTTATTCGGTGTTTGTGCAGCTATCTACCCGAGGAGATGAGGAACCCTACAACATTTAAATGTGAGCTGTCATCTGATGAACTTTTCTACGAAATCTGACTTTTCCAGTACTCCTTTTCTTTATTTTAACTACTGATGGATCTCTAGAAGGATGTAAGTGCTGACAAGTACATCTAGTAGACATTGCCTAAGCTGTGCAACTTTTCTTATTAGTGTTTTTCGCATTAGATGTGCTTAGCCAACTCATGGTTCAGGTTTTAGAGTAAAATTCATTTCCTCTTTTATCATTGACTGTTTGTCTGAATTGCTATGTTGTAGGACGATGCAAGAACAAGAGTTAAATGCCATTAATTGTTTATTCCTGTCCTCTTCTTATCAGGCATACTTGTTATTCTGGTTTCTTGTGACTCTACTACACTACCTTTATGGTTCATTGCTATAAGTTTTTAAAGCTCTTTTTATCTTCTTTCTCTATCAGATTAAACTAAAACTAAAATGGTCTTGCATTTAATTTTATCACAGGGATGCTGCAAAATCCACAATACCGTCAACAGTTGCAGGACATGATGTAAGTCTGCTTCAATTGTCTTTCAAGTGCATATTTCTTTATTCCATGCCAAAATGCATTACTTGTATTATCATTTACTTTTCTAAACTTTCTGTTTGATTATCGTATTCTTATCAGTACCACATCCATCCACTGAGTTTTACCATAAGCACTGTCGCAAAGGCTGTTTGGATAGAAACTTATGCCATTCCTATAACTTGCTTTAAGTGTTAGGAAAAACATATCTTCGTGTGACTACTGTATCTGAACTGCTTCATTCTCTACCCTTCCACAGACTTTATTTACTGGAGTAACCAGTTCCTTTTGAACTTGTGCAAATGAGATCTGACTTTTTCTTCTGCCTGAATAGGGTTAAAATTCTCATCTTGAATGTGAATATATTCCATTCCAATGTATGTATGACACTGGTTTACATTGGACCCTAATTGGTAGTTCTCATCTAGTTGATTCTTGTCCATCTGATTGCATTTCTAGTTTAGACTAGAACAATGCAAAGCTGTAAATGATTCTTCAGTACACACCTAATATCAACTGATATCAGTTATCTGTCTGGAATCAAATATTCGTAGGACTACCTACTTTGGTCAGGCAGCTTGCAGTTCTGCATTTTTGGTGTTGTTCTTTGCTCAATTTTGAAAAGAAAGGAAGGAAAAAAGAAAAGAAAAGAAGAGAACATGGAAAGAAACAGAGATGTTGAATCATCTGCCATTTTTTGGTTGATGAGCATTTCGTGTTAAATACTTCTCTTTGTGTCTTATGAAAAACTTATCAGGGTTTTCATCATTTGCCCCATCCCAGGAATAACATGGGTGGAAACCCAGAATGGGACAACCGTATGATGGATTCCTTGAAGAATTTTGATCTTAGCAGCCCTGAAATCAAGCAGCAATTTGGTAAGTTTAGAGTAGTTATATTGTTCTTTTCCTAATCTATTTGCAACAATAGCAGTGTCTGCAGCCCACTAATCTGGAGGGGGAGGGTGGGGGGATAAGAGGGTCGTAACAATAGCTGAATTCCACTGAGTATCGACATATATTTTTCATTATCTCCATCTGATCAACAAAGTCATTACTAACACATATAGTTGAACATATGGTAATAGGTGATGAATGACTTCAATAAAATACCAGAACTAGGGGTGGGGAGTGCACTATTTGGGTTAAATTTGGGTGGGTCAATGAATGGGTCATTGCCCAAACATGGCCGTAGTTTAAATGGGCTAAGATGCGCTAAACAATATATTGTAGACCAACCTGCCCAACATGAGCACACATGTTTAGGGAAATACTAGTAAATGTTATTGAAGGGGGGAGAAAATTTTGTTGTTATAGCATGTCAGTAAGACCTCCTTTCATGCTACAAACAGTTGCTATAGCCAAAAATATCGAATGATATGATCTGTATTTTTCTTTGTTTATTTGTTTTTATGGTTGCAGATCAAATAGGACTTACTCCCGAAGAAGTCATTTCAAAGATTATGGCTAATCCTGATGTTGCTATGGCTTTCCAAAATCCAAGAGTTCAAGCAGCCATCATGGATGTATGCACTTGTTACCCCCTTTCACCCCCCACCCCCATTATATCCTCTTGAATTTGTTGACGTTCCAAAGAGCATATATTTGAATAATCATAGGACATATAACATGCATTTATTATTGCTTGAAATGTTGATGCACTCTTGACTTTTATTTTTATTGCAGTGTTCTCAGAATCCACTGAGTATTGCAAAATATCAAAATGACAAGGAGGTAAGAACGTAATTTCATCTGAAACATGTCTTCTTGATATCGATATGAATTTGAGTATGAAGTTTGTACTTGTTATTGACTAAGTTGCATTTTGCTTCACTACATTAATACTAGAGAGCAGTAAAATGCATCAGTTTGACAGTTTTGAGCAATACTTCAAAAAAAGAAATTCTTATTCCATCTTATGTTTGCCCAGTATAGCACAAATTCAATGTATACATATTCGTTACTACTACGACATATTATGTTGCATGTATGTGTGTATATATTTGATAAATACCTAATACATATGGGTTATAGGTGATGGATGTCTTCAACAAAATATCAGAACTATTCCCTGGGGTGTCAGGTTCACCTTGATTCTCTCCTTCCTGCTTAAATAGCTATTATGTGACAATGCTGTCATTTTTGTTCTGTTTGAGTGAGGTATCAGTCAGAATTGTTGGGCTCTGAGATGTAGTTTGCACCCTCTGTTGCAACGGATGCACATGAAAACATCGCCTCCTTTATATAAATTCATTGCCCTTCTCAAATTTTGTGGATGTTAACATACTTGCCTTGGCTTATCAGTAGTCTTTAGAAGCCAACTTCAGATGTAAATTTGCCAGTTTCTTTATGGTTTTAGAGTTACATAAAGCTTATTCAACTGTATGATTTGACGAAAATGCTCTATTCTTCTATCTTGAGGTATGTTTTTCTCACCGGGGACCTCCTGCAAAATCTTGAGTTTATTTTCTTTGCTTTGTCATGAAATACTTCACTATGGAGTTGATGGGTCTCTAACAGGCCATAAAAGATGACCCCTAGGGTATCATTGAACTAGAAAAACTCAAATTCTAATTCGTTAATCCAAAATATTGACTTTGATCGAACTTCTTATTCAAATTTTCAAAAGTGAGATTTCTTCAATTCAAAACACTTATGATCACCTCGCGAATCAAATTAAACGGTACAATGATGCTTTGGGGAGGTTGAAAAGGGGAAAAGAGTCCAAGGCATAAAACGACCATGTGAATTGTTACCGTACTTCAGTTTGAAAAGGGAAGGGTAAATTACTAATAAGTTACGATATTTCATATATAGTTTAGAAAGGACAAGTTATGTAAATATACCACCCGATGCACAATTAGTTTATCAATATGATAGAAGTATACAATACATATATAATGATAGTGTGTATATGTTGCGTATAGGTATGTATATTATAAGTATAATATAATATATGTATATTTTGTATAAAATATACACTGCTTATATATACTTTGCACATTATGTAAATTATATGGTTGGTTCATAATCATCCTATTCCGAGAAAAACTCCTTTAAGAAAGCTTTTTGAAGCCTTTTTCTTCGTATGATTAACTATGGAGATCGCTAAAAATTAACTCAATATGTTCTAATAATAGAAAAATACATAAATATCCACAAAAATCAAACAAATTATCCTTACCTACTCATTGTAATTTTTGTACAAAATTATCTTTTTTCCGTTTTCTTTTTAAATTCTCTACTCTTCTTTTGCTTACATTTGTTTTCTTTTTCTCGTGTTTTTCTTATTTTCTTCATGTTTTGTTCAAATTTTATTGTTCTTTAAATTTTTCTTTCATTTTTGGCTCCTTTCTTTTTCTGTCTTTTAGTTTCTCTTTTCTTATTTTCTTATTTTCTCCATAACATAATTTCATTCGAGATATATATATATTGATAAGATATTATAGAGGACTAATTTATTTCTTTTAAAAAGAGCTCAGTCCTCTATGATATTAAATTGATATATATCATATATTGAAATGGTATCATAAAGGATAAGTTCGTTTCTATAAAAAAAAAAACTCTTTAATCTTCAGTGATACCAACAACATATTATATGTATCATATACTAACACGGTATCATAGAGCACATGTTCATTTCTTTAAAAAAATGTTATCAAAGAATATAGTTTAAGCTTAATTTTGATATCATTGCCATATTTTTAGATCTATATTTTGTTTTCATTTGCAAAAAAAAATAAAAATCCTATTAATATGAGTTTGATAAATAAGATATTGATATTACTATTTTCTTGATTACTTCTCGTTGTACTTTAATTATTTGTTTTTATATGTAGTTTTATTAGTCTGAAAAATAATTAGTTAGTATTTTTATCCTTATACTTTAGTTTTATCTTTGAAAAGACGAAACAAAAATAAAATAAAAACTACATAACTAAGCAAATAAAGCTAATATATATATATATATATATATATATAAAATGTATTTGCGTTTTAAACAATTATACACCTATTATCAAATTGTATCTTCTTCGATTGATACATATTGATATGGCAAATTGTATCTCTGTATAAAAAACATTGTATATTAGTATCAGAAAAAAAACGGATACAACTATTATTAGAAAAAAATGTATTAGATTACTTCTTTCAGGGGTGATGCAATATTCAAACAATGTATCAATATTTTTTTCATTTGTATATCACAAAATTTGGTACTTATTATATGTGTGTATTTATTTTAGGGGAGATACAATGTGTATCCGTGTACAATATGTTGATTTATGTATCTGTGTGCGAGATTAGGAGAGAGTTGAGAGAGACGAGTGAGATTTGAAAGAGAGATGAGATTGTTAATATGTGTATCTCAGTTTCAATTGAGATGCAAGTTATATTTTAAGTTACAACTTGATCGCTTCTCTCCTCTATATATCTCTCTTGATTTCACTCACCTCTTTTTTCTATCTTTCGATCTCACTCTCCTCTCTTCTATCTAAAACTATTAGTATGAATATAATTAAACTATAGCTAGTATTCATAATTATGATCCAAACTATGGTTATTTGTGAAAATCCTCAAAAATAAAATAGCATTGACCCAAAGCTACTTAATTAATACTTCTTACTACAAATGGGCTCAATAAAACCTCGTTTAATATTTTATTAGAAAAATTACTTAACTACACACCATTTATTATCATATTTTCTTATTTTTGCTATCATTTTAAAAAATCAAAAATCCCTTCTTTTCCTCCCATCATCCTCTTTTCCGGATACATTAATTTGAAATCTCATGCCCATGATTTTCCTTCCTTTTTTTACCCTACAAATCTCTCCATAATTACATCAATTAATCTATTTTTGAATTTCAAATCTTTTCTATTTTCAATTAATGATTTCAAATTATTCAAGAGGTAGATTTCTTTCCATCACTTCAATTTACGATTTCTTTTATTATTATTTTTAAAAATTTTCATCTTAAAAAATAAAAATAAAATTACCTCCTCCCCCTGCCCCCATTGAAATCTTATTAAATCTTTGCAATTTTAGTTAATCATATCATCGTTGAAAAATTTTCTTGAAAAATATTTATTTTCTTTTAATGTATCTACTATTGAAAACGTCCAAAAAATAAGAAGAAAAAAGTTGGATCTACCTTTGCACGGCCATCACTATCAAAGATACAAATCTTTAATGTATCTCGTTTGTTTTGAGTCTTAAATTAGTCTTTGTTAGTGTTATCATTGATCCGATACATCACTGCCACAATAACTTTTATTTTATGCAATGTATACTGTTCATATTTAAGGTATTGATCATAACTCTAATGTTGTTGAATCTTCGATTAATGTTTATCATGTTCAATATAAATGTACTTGATACATAAACTTTGTGTTATTTATCACACACACAAAAAAAGAAGCTATTTTGGAACAATTACATGTATAATGTATTTTTAAAATTTTAAAATATAGTATTTCTCAAACAAAATAAGATACATAAATAATAATGTATCATACACTACTTTTTTAGTTATGATATGTAAATTCAAATTTATACTAAATGTATCTGATACATAACAATTACCAAACAATAATGTATCGATCTCAAACCTAAAATCTTATGGGAAACACTTTCTTATTTAATGTATCTAGTAGAAATACAACACTTATCAATTTAAATTGAAAGGATCTTCATGATCTCAAACAAAATAAGATACATAAATAATAATGCATCATGCACAAACTTTTTAGTTATGATACGTAAATTCGAATTTATACTAAATGTATCTGATAAATAACAATTACCAAATAATAATGTATAGATCTCAAACCTAAAATTTTATGGGCAACACTTTCTTATTTAATGTATCTAGTAGAAATACAACACTTATCAATTTAAATTGAAAGGATCTTTATGATGTTTCTTCTCAAAATTTTCGATAATTTTGAATCAAAATTGAAAGGATCTTCAATGAATTAGGAGAATAATTTTGAAACTCAAATTTTTTAACAATTTTGAATCAAAATTGAAAGGATCTTCAATGAACTGGGAGAAGAATTTTAAATCTCAAAATTTTCGACAATCTTGAATCAAAATCAAAAGGATATTCGATGAACTTGAAGATTCACAAAAGAAATCGTTTCTCCAACAACAATTTCATCACTTTTATATCCTTCATAACTCACCTCGCTTATCCAAAATTTCGACAAATTTTTTTATGAAATAGAAAGAACGATAAACAAGAAGAAGAAATTTAATTTTTGAATTTTTTGGTTTGTTACACTATGTGATTGAATTCTTGACATAATTTGGAATGGAATAGCGTAATTTATGGGATCTTAATTTGACTTTCAGTTCCCCCCCCCCCCCCCACCCCCACCCCCTTAATTAGTGCAATAGATGAATACTATGAGATCTTAATTTGATTTTTCAGCTTTTTTTCCCCCCCTTAATAAGTGCAACAAATTGATACATAATGTATCAACAATAATATATTTGGATCCTTAATTATGTATCCGAAATACCTAAAAAATATGAGATTTATGTAATTACAAAAATAATAGGGATAAAAGGTAATTTAGATTTTACATTATGGAATTTATTGAAGACACTACAATTAGTTAGCTAGTTAATAATTAGCTAAATTAGTTAGTTAGTTGTAGATTAGCTGACGTGACAGTAGTTAGTTAATAGTACAAGTTAGTTATAACTAACTTGATCAGTGGAGTGAAGAAAAGCACTTGTATATATATTCTGTAGCATACTTTGTAACTGATTCATTCAATACAATACACAATTTTATTTTTCACTGCTGGTCTTCTTCCTCTTAGACTCACAGAACCTCCATTGGAGGACTTAACATGGTATCAAAGCTAGAGGTCGGATCACCAACAATGGCTACTGAAAATGAGCTTGTTATTCCTTACACACATCCTCTCTACTTGCATCCATCGGATACTCCAGGATCTGTGCTCTGTCCTGTTAAGTTGACAGGATCGGAGAACTATGGGTTATGGCGGAGGTCCATGCGAATTGCTTTGCAAGCTAAGAGGAAGCTAGGTTTTGTGATTGGAACCTGTAAGAAGGCAAGTTTTGAAACTAAGTATCATGATCAATGGGATACCTATAATGCAATTGTTCTATCATGGCTTATGAACACAGTAGCTCCTAATCTCTTAAGTGGCATTGTCTATGCGTCAGATGCATCACATGTTTGGGAAGATCTGCAGGAACGATTTGACAAGGTCAATCGTATGAGAATCTACCAAATACACAGAGAAATTGCTACAATTGCACAGGGGATCGATATTGTTTCAGTTTATTTTACAAAGTTAAAGGAATTATGGGTTGAGTATGATGCAATGGTGATATTTCCAAGTTGCGAGTGCCTAAAGTCGAAGGACTATGTTGAGCATTTGCGACAACAACGACTGCTTCAATTTCTTGGAG